TTCTTATCAGTGTGAGAAATATCTGAAGTCTCCATTTGAGCACTTCTAGAATCTGATGCAGATGGTGCCACTTGCTGGTCTGAAGCTTCACTTGGAACAAAAGATGCCTGCTGTACGATCAATGGTTCACCAGGAGCTGTAATGGCAGATTGTTGATGATCACCTTGCATATGCAAATGAGATTGTGCCAAGGCAGCTTGAGCCTGAACCTGTGCCAAAGCCTGCTGATGGGACATCCCAAAGGGGCTCTGTATATATTTTTGAAATTTAAGAGACAATAAGACACATGAAAATATATGATCCATCCTTGGCCAATATATGTATGTGAATATGCAAAAGCTTGCATGAGCACACACGAGTGGATCCACTGCCCACAAGAAAATATCACATGGATGCATAACAGCAGAAAAAATGCCCAATAGCGTGACAAGCAGACATGCCATGTTACACATTATCCTGCACGGTTGCACATTTATCCACAGTCAATCCTATGCAGGCCAAACATCTCTTCCATGGACTTTAACGTCTTCTATGGAACAACGTATTATTCAGTGCAACAAGTTTTACCATGAAGAAAACTAAAAAAAAAAAAATCATAGGAGGAAGACAGATCTGAATTATCATGTTTAGTTGCAAATTCAACAAAGATCATTGAGAATTAGAATGGCATAGGAAGAAGTACAAATAACCATTATTGTCATAAGATAAGCAATTCCAGTTATTGACTCATAAATCCTTAAATTTTTCTGCATTTTCTACTCATTTTCAAAAACAAGCTTTTAGAAGAAAAAATTGCAATCTTGAACTTTTCATCTCCAAATTTTCGTTGCCAAAGTGAACATTCATTAAACTGGCTGGCGAACTAATCAATTCTATCACTTTCTTCTACTGAACTTCAAAAAGGGGATGATTATAGACTTTTTTCAGTTTCCAGTCAGCGTCAAGACTCCCAATTACAATTCCTTTGTCAGCTGAAGCTAGTCAAGATAAAAAAAATTAAAAAAATAAAAGTAAAAAAAAATAAAAAAATTACAATTCCCTTAATAGGATTAAAGGTTTCTCTAATCATTTTCTCTTTTGCTCTGGAATCTAGATCACATAATTATTACCGTATACCATGTCACAAAAGGATATTATGAATTCAGTGAAACTACTTGGAGCAATTAAATAAAATTCCTGAAGATCACTTCTTGACTGTAAATACTAAATACCACGCCGTTAATAAAATATGAGTATGCTATAGTGTAGAAACTCCACTTTCAGACTAATAACAATGACATCAATGAACCATAGAGCTAAGAAACTGCAGTTTGCCATTCTCCATACTAATTAAATTTCAATTTCCCGAAAACAAATATATTATCTGTCCAATCATATCCAGCAACGAACAACAATTTGAGGCAGCAATTCAACATGCAGGGGATGATGTATTTTTTGAGACAAAAGTAGATATCAAGCCGTCAAATTTAATCGAATTTATTTTTTTTTTAAAAAAAGGCCATATATGTCCAGGAATAAGCATCAATGAACAACCATTTAAAGCAGCTATAAAATAAACCTAGAGTGATGCGGTTTTCTAATAGAAATAAGCTACCAAGTTCATGAACAGAATCCCATGAATGTTAGCCCCGAAATTCAAGGGAAAAGAAGCTCAATTGCAAAAGTCAATCCATTAAATTACCTGCGGCTGAAAGAAACCCGGTGAGTTAAGCAACCCAGAAGGGCTGAACCCAGGTGGAACGGTGAACAATGGTGAACGCGCAATAACCAGATTCATGGGTCTACTCTGCTTAAAACCCGAATTCTTCTGGCCCCGATCCTCAGCAGTAGCTTCTTTGGAGGAATTGTCGATCGAATTTTCCGGGAACAAGCTGGGCCTCGCACCGAGAGCAAGCGGAGAAGCCATAGCTCCGGCGAGTAACTGAGAAAAGGACCGAAAGTCAGAGTCAGGGTAATTATCCGTGAAGAAGCTGGATACGAGTGTCATCGGACCAGGGCTTGCGCCTGGCCCCCCGGAGAAGAAGGCCTCCATGGAAGGCCGAGGTGGGAGAGTGATCGTCGGACGAGGCGGTGCCGTGGCGGATCCGCCGTTCTTCGTGGCCATTAGATGATAACTACTGTCGCTGGATTTCCGTACTCGGTAACTAGAAAGTGGTGGCGGTGTCCAGATTTCTCCTTCGTCAATAATCGCGCAATTGATGGTTTCGTGCAGTCTTGAAACTCAGTGTAAGAAAGTCCACGGAGCAGAAACTGCGATGATTTCTTTCCTCCCATTCTTCGTTATTGCATTATTATATGATTATTTCTTTATTACAATGTTACTGTTTATCATATTGCTTGTCTTTTCCATTAAAAAAATAAATTACAAATATCAATTCATATTATTATAAATAATAATTCTAATTATAAAATAAGTTACGTTTAAAATTTAAATATTTTATTTATAATTAAAATTTCTATAATTACGATTTATTTTTTAAAAAAATTATTCAAATCTGATTATAATTAATTTAATCATTTAAAACCTTCTATTTTCTCTAAGTTTTAATAAATTATATTCATTTATTAATAAAAAATTAATATGTTTTTGTATGAAAATTAATTAATTCTTATGTAGATAATATGTTTACAAAATATTAAATTTCAAATAATTATTTTAAACAATATAAATTGCATGCATGATGGCAAAAAAGTAGCAAAGAGATTAAAAAAGAAGCCAACATTTTTTTGAAATACGGGCAAGTAAAAGCTTATTAAGCATAGCATTTATCCCTAAGATACATGCTTAGACAACTAGCATGTACATGATGTGCCAAGAACGTATAAGAGCATCTATCTTAATGACATCCCTAGTGGTGTGAAAAATACGCAATCTCTTGTAGAGATCTCGTCACAAAGATGGTGCTTTAGGGTAGAATCAAATTTAAGTAAACTTATGGTATTGAAGGAGCTAGAGTTCTGACCCAAAAAAAAAAAGAAAAAGAAAAAGAGTTAGAGTGAATATACACTTTATCAAGCTTAAGTTGTGGACAAATTTCCAAACTAGTTTTGATGACTATGATTTCGGCATGGGAAACATTTTTACTTTTCTATCTTATCAATGAAAACATTTAAACTAATTATTTTAAACAATATAAACTGCATGTGTCATAGCAAAAAGAGCAGCAAAGATATGGAAAAAGTAGTCAACATTTTTTTTTAAATACAGTAAGCTAGCAAAAGCTAGAAGAAACAAAACCAAAAAAGATTACCATAGCTTATATACTGGTTTTATTTATAAATTACTTCTAACATATTTTATTAATATTAATAAAAATTTTAAAATTTATTAACTTTATCTTAAAATTTAATAAATTTTTAACTTTATTGCTATTAAATATACATACTTCATTAACATATTTTTTTTTCTAATATTTAATGGAGGGTAAAAGAAAAATTTATGATAAAATTTAATGATATAATTTATTAAAAAAAAAAATCTCTACCTCATAGATAAGATCAAAGAGAGTATAGTGTTTATCCATGAGATACATGCTTCGACAACTAGCAAGTACATGAAGTACCAAAAACGTATCAGAGCTTGATGCAACTCTGGTGGCATGAAATAGCTTCACTCCCTCCTTGAAAAATAAGCAATCTCTAATGAAAGAGATCTCATCAAGAAAATAGTACTTTGGGTAGCATCAAATTTAAACATATTAATAGTGTCGAAGGATTTAGAGTGAATCCACACTTTGTCAAGCTTAAGCTGAAAGCAAATTTCCAAACCAGTTTTGATGGCTAGGATTTTGGTGTCGAAGACATTTTACTTTTCTATCTTATCAATGAAAAGTTTTATAAATTTTTGATGCAACAAATTGTTATATTAATTTAAATTAGCATGGGATTTTGTGTCTTCATGGGATAATTTTTTTTTGGATAAAATTTGAATAATCGTGACTATATTCAATATATCTTCTCAAATAAAATTTCGAGTGGATTACAAATTTTAAAACAAACCAAAACATTAATATTAAAGCCCCAATACAAATTAGGGATACAAAATTACACCATGTTCTTGTCCAAAAAAAAATAACTTAATGTCCAAGATTTAATTTTAAAATACATTGCATGTATAAATTTAATTACCTATTTTTTCTTATTCAAACAGGAGTGACTCCAGCAATTTATCATATAACTTGAAAATAAAATAAAAAAGAAAAGGAGGAATCAGATTTTGTTTAGAAAATAAAAAAAATACTATTAAACGATAACTATAAAAATATAATAAAAATTAATGATATTATTTCTACTTATACTCTTTTTTTTTAGAAAAATTGACAATAAAATCTCTATAAAATATATAAATAACAATTTGATCTACCAAAATGCAATAATTCTCTTAAAGTCTCTAAAAAATTTTTTATCATTAATGAATTTATATAAATTACAAAATTACTCTTATTGAAAATAAATGATTTACAACTTTTTTTCTTACATTCATAAATTTTTTTTTATATTCACAGTAATGCAACAATAAATAAGGAATTTAACATATGAAATTATAATTTAATGTTACATTATTGCAAATCTAAGAAGAAAAGTTGCAAATATAAAAAAAATTATGAATTATTTTTTTAATAAGGAAAATTTAATAATTTATATAAATTTATTAATAATAGAAAAGTTTTTAAAAATTTTGAGAAAAATTATGACATTTTAAGGGACCAAATTATTATTTATATATTTCAAAAAAAATTATTATCATTTTTCTTATTTTTTATGTTCATCTATTAGCTGTGAAGTTTGTTTAAAACAAATTCTTATTTCCTCGCAATCTTATTAATGTGCGTAAATTTTACTCATGCTCGTATCCCTGTAAAAATAAAAGAAAAAATTATACTTAGATCCCAAAAAAGAGAATTTATTAACAAAATATCTCATAAAATTCATAAAATACTCTCAAATCTAACATGTTGTGTATGTATAATTTAGTTAAAAGCATTTATAATTGAACAATGAGAATTTATAACTTGCTATTATAAATTGTCATTTTCCTTTGCGAGTTGCAAATGCATGTTACCCAATTGTAAATGTTCTTAGTCAAATTATAAACACATAAGATTTAAAATTTGAGGGTATTTTGTCAATTTTATGAGACCTATTGATAATAAATTCTCTCATGTAAAACCTAGGTGTAATTTTTTTAAAATATAAGTCATAATCTTAGTCTCTCATAATGCAGCAAACCAAATATTCAAATCCTCCTTGAAAGATATGTTTATATTTAATACTCAATTATGTCTTAAAAAAATTACCTTTAATGAAAGGATACTTGTGAGTATGCTCATGTCTCTTATTGAGCTACGTTGAGCTATTTTATTGTCAATAATTGAGTAAATCAACCATGTGACTCAATTAAAGACAATTTTTTCACTCTCAGATTGCACACAAGTAGCAAATATCAATATAAAAACATAACCACTACTTGTCTCCAATTAAGCCACTTGATTCAACCATAAGCAGCCACATAACTTAAACAAAAACAAGCTTGTAGCTTTATTTTTATAGATAGATAAATGGATAAGTGTATATATTAGCTGCACAATAAATCATAGGCAGAAAACACAATTACATCCTACAAAAAGACCTAACCGATGCAAGCATGAAATCCAATAAGATGGATATCATGGATATCACTTGAAAGGAGAAAATCGACCGTAGTCTAATGAGCAATTGACTCGTAAATATTGATATGTTCGGTCAACCAAGAGATATCTAGACATAAAAGACAGTCCACCAATAGCCATTATGATGAATAAGTAACAGTGTGTTCAAATTCATAGTGTTGTTAGTATTGATTATAATTGATAGAGAATTTTTTTAGCTGTAGATGTTATTCATAGCTAGATCCAACAATATTTAAATTTAACTAAAATTGACCTAATAATATATATATATATATATAAAGGTTGTTTTTTAATACGTATATTTTAATGGAAAAATGAAACTTTTTGCAAGCTGAGACATGCTTTTTTAAATATTTTTTTTCATATTTTTGTTAACTAGATTGTATCCAAACTAAAAATATGTTTTTCAAGATTTAAAAGTTGAATTAACGACTATATGAAAAAATCAATCCAATTTATAGATATCATAGCAAGCCTGTCATTTTAAATTACAAACAATATGACTATTTTTTCAGATTATATAATATGTGATAAAATGTATTTAATATCGGAGTGTATGTATATAGGTAAAAGTAATAAATAAATTATAACAATTGTATTTTTTATTTTATTTTTTTGGTTGATATTTTGATGCAGACCACTCCCTTTGTTTCTAACCACAGATTGACAAGTTTGCTTTCTTTTTCTTAGCATAAGGCTCCATTTAAGTTGTCTAATGTATTTACTTTTTTTTTTTTTTTGCGGAACAAAAGTGTCTTTATCAATGGAGGTATACCTACATTACTCTATATAAGGGCATTTTTGGCAAGACAATGTAAATTATTGACAAAATTTATTACTTAAAACTAATATAGCTAATTTTCTTAATTCCTGAGAAATAGGTAAAATAAATGTTTAAATGAAAATAGAGGGAGTATCAATATCAATTTAAGAGAAATGATAGATTGGAGCAAGTTGGAAAAGCAATAATAGACGGGATATCCTTAAATACGGAAGTTGGTAATTGAAGATAAGGTCCTTTAAGCAGGTCAAGTGGGCAACAAAATGTGGGTGGCGGATACCGTCAATTCATATCTGTATAATTAATATACCTGCCTCACCGTCCACGCGCGCTTGTCATTGCCATATTCAATTTATAATTGTAATTATTAATTACTTTCATTATTTTTGATGCAGCACCTGTTGCTATGATAAGTGATTTAAACTATTATTTTATATTAATTTATTAAAATAAAAATTTATAAAAATTATAAAATAATTTTAATAAATTTTTAATTTTTAATTTGATCTAGATTTAATTTAGATAGTCTAATTTAATATTAAAATTTTTATGATTAATGTATATTAATTATTCAGATATACTCTATGCAGTACAAATATTATATTTAAATTGTGTAGAGTGCATTTGAAAAATTTAAGATATTCAATTATAAAAATTTTAATATAAAATTAAATCCTCTAATCTAAATCTAGATTAAATTAAAAATTTATAAAATTATTTTATAATTTTGATAAAATTTTATTTTAATAAATTAATATAAAATAATATTTTAAATTTAGACTGTTCAAATTAAAATTTAGATGGTTTAGATT